TAAGATGGCGAAGAGAAGGGGCGCGTTGGGCCATTTTCATGTCATACCTGGGCCACCAACCATCCCCATTTGCCCAGGGCTGTCTCAATTTTAGCATGGAAAGCCCCGTGTCCTGGGAGAAAGTGTCACATATCTGTGGTGTGTGCCCAGTGACAGCCAGAGACACACAATGACCGTGTGTTGTGGCCACGTTTACACTTTGTGACGGCCAAAGAGATGGGGAATCGCTTTCCTATCTGGTCTTTGCAATGGCTTGGAAAGGAAGCAGCAAAGCTTTAGATAAGGCAGTCTTATTTTTCCTCATACTGTTGTGATAGCAATCGGGGCCTTTCTTTTATTGCCCAAATAATTGAAAGCTTCTCAGCCTACATTCCAGTCTGACATGGGAAATGTCAGAAACACGGTTGGAGCCGCCAGGGAAGCAAGTCTGAGTGTTTCTTGACCCACATCAACACATTTCAGCAAATCAGGTGGACCGTGTCATTGCACAATGTCTGAATCGGCCACCGCCGTGGGGAACCCGTCACCTCCCAGGGGGCCAAAGCTTGGTGCACGGATTGGAGTAAGCAGCCTTGGTCTTCACCCCGACAGTGGCGCCCATCCTCCACCCATGCCGACCCTAAAGGAAGGGGTCTATTTGCTTTGATCAGTTTCCTCCTCACCCACAGGTGTATTGGCAGTTCCTGGGCGTGGTGGGAGGCACTACTTTTCTGTCTCAGCTGGAGAGCCAGACTTTCATTAAAGCCGATGTCTAGCTTTCCTGTGCAGGAAACTCAAGCGAAGCCCAATCAGGACCAGCTGCCACTTCGCACAGAGCAAATCCTCTTGCCAGCTGAGAATCCGTGTGACCTGGGCCGGCTGCGAGAGGTAGCAGGCCACCTGAACAAACAGCCTCCAGGTGCGGCTGCAAACATTCTGCTCCTGCCTTGTAAAAATGTAACTGCCTCCTGCTGGCTGGCAAAAGCCACTTGCTCTTATTAGAATGCAGAGAAGCTGTGGTTTCAAGAGCACAAATCAGTCTCATTTTCCTTCCCTCCTTTCCCTCCCTCTTCCTCCTCTTCCTTCTTTTTCCCTTCCCTGTTGTCTTATTCATCCTCCTCTGTCTTCCTCCTGCTCCTCTTCCTTCCTTCCGACCTCCCCACCTCTCCCGCTCCTTTCATTCCCTGCTCTCTCCTCTTCCTCTACCTCTGCCACACTAGACTACTCTCTTCTCGCTTTTGTCCTCCAGGTGGAGGGGCTACCTCTGCATCACACCTGCTCCATTCTTTACCCCCTGGGAGCTGAATCACCTTTCTGCTCTGTGCATTTCTCAACCCATACGTAACACCTAGAGCCAGGCTGCCCGCACTAACCTCACATGCCTGCAGCCCCAGAAGCTGTTGGGGACCAGAGAGAGAAATCCATGTGCTTCCCAGGGGATCAAATTGTAACGCTGATCAGATATTTAACTGGGGTTCCCTTCCTGGACCCCACTCTTCTCCTTTGTCTATTTAGGGAATTTGCCTAAAAGCGTTTCTTCACCTATTTTCAGAAGTGGCAAGAATAGGAATGAGTTGGGGGTACCGGGTGTGTGCAGTGCATGTTATTTCGGGGAGACACTGCGCCTCTGGGCAGCTGCATGTTAAAGCACGTGGCTGCATCTGCGGCTCAGCAGAACAACGCTGCTCAGGCCCCGGCTTTGACCCGACCCGCATTTGACCCTTGGCTCGGACCCCTTGCTGCACCTCCTTGGCTGTCCCCAAGAAACCGTCTCGTGGGTCAGGGCGGGCGCTGCCCTTCTGTAGCCAGAAGACTGTGACCCTCTAGCAGGGGGGCGTGGACGCCAGGGGTCCTTGTGGAAGCGGGGAGTGTGTTGAGATGTGGGATGACTCCGTGTGTTTTCCTTCCCACGTGGAAGCTCGTAGTGTCTGCTGAGATTTGTTGAAACGTACTTGAGGCGTCAGCTTTCGGTCTGACCTTGTTAGAAGTTGCCATTCCCTTCTCTCTGGGCCACTTTCACCCTTGTGACTGGCTGTGGGTCTCTGGCCTTTCTGTAAGAAGGGTTACTTTTCATTTTTCCAAAATCTTGCAGTTTTTGGAGGTCTTCACTATGAAGTCTCCCCACTGGGACAGCAGGCCCTGGGCCCCAAAACCCCGGGGAGCAGCAGCAGCAGTTGGCTTAGAAGTCATGGGCAGGGCTGAGATCTGACAGCAGAGCCTTGCCAGGTCGCACACAAGGCCGGGCCGGGAGGCCCTGCCAAAGCCAGGCCTGCGCCGTCCTGATGCCAAGGCAGCCTGGGGAGCGGCGGGCGATGGCGTGGGCTCGGATAGGGCCAGCCTGTGTCCACATGGACTGCCCTGTGGCTGGGGCGAATGCATCGCCTCTGTGTCGGTAAGGGCGGAGGCTGCAGGGGAGAAAGCCTGCGCCCCTCCCAGCCGGCTCCAGCGCACAGCTGCGGCAGGCACCGCTGGCCTCCGCCCTCGGGCAGAAAGGAGAAAGCAGGAAGCAGTGAATAGCATCAGCAGAACGAACCTGGCAGAATAGACACAAGGATGGCCCCGCAGTCCCTCTACAACGTCCGTTTGCACGAGGGATCCGTCGCAGAGGTGGCTTTCCTCCAACACAGCTGGGGCGCAGGGACACCCACGTCTGACGGCAGTTGTGGTGCCCAGAGCCGCAGGAAGAAGGTGAACAGGCTGACTCACAAGCAGATGTTAGAGCCCGGAGCATGGGCTGTGGCCGAGGGCTCCTGCGTCATTTCTCCAAGAGCATTTCTCTTCCTCTGGAACCAGGAGCTGAGGGTTAGGGATGATGAGGCTTCTCAACATTTTTCTTTCCCTACATGGAACATTCCTTCCCATCTCGATTTGTAGCCCCTGCCACCACCTCTCAGAAGCAACTGGCTCTCTTGGAATCCCCCACAATTCCAGCTATCCCAGCTGTCACTTCGCAACACTGTTTTCACTACAAGGGTTGGAACCCCCTGGGGTCTGCTTTCACTCTGAGCACACTGCACCCCTGGGCACTAGTGGCACAGCAGCCTGCGCTATGAGCCAGGGTCAGGCCTGCAAGAGGGTGCAGGGACCCTGTGCTGCGAGCCAGGATCAGGCCTGCAGGAGGGTGCAGGGGGCAGTGCTGTGAGCCAGGATCAGGCCTGCAGGAGGGTCCAGGGGGCCTGTGCTGGGAGCCAGGGTCAGTCCTGCAGGAGGGTGCAGGGGGCAGTGCTGTGAGCCAGGATCAGGCCTGCAGGAGGGTGCAGGGGGCCTGTGCTGTGAGCCAGGGTCAGGCCTGCAGGAGGGTCCAGGGGGCCTGTGCTGGGAGCCAGGGTCAGTCCTGCAGGAGGGTACAGGGGGCAGTGCTGTGAGCCAGGATCAGGCCTGCAGGAGGGTGCAGCAGGGGGCAGTGCTGTGAGCCAGGATCAGGCCTGCAGGAGGGTGCAGGGGGCCAGTGCTGTGAGCCAGGGTCAGGCCTGCAGGAGGGTGCAGGGGGCCAGTGCTGCGAGCCAGGATCAGGCCTGCAGGAGGGTGCAGGGGGCAGTGTTGTGAGCCAGGGTCAGGCCTGCAGGAGGGTGCAGGGGGCCAGTGCTGTGAGCCAGGGTCAGGCCTGCAGGACATGCGGGGTCTGTGCTGTGAGCCAGGGTCGGGCCTGAGGACATGTGGGGTCTGTGCTGTGAGACAGGGTCAGGGCTGCAGGACGTGCAGGGCCTGTGCTGTGAGCCAGGGTCGGGCCTGCAGGAGGGTGCGGGGTCTGTGCTGTGAGACAAGGTCAGGCCTGTAGAACGTGCAGGGTCTGTGCTGTCAGCCAGGGTCGGGCCTGCAGGAGGGTTCGGGTTCTGTGCTGTGAGCCAGGATCAGGCCTGCAGGACATGCAGGGCCTGTGCTGTGAGCCAGGGTCAGGCCTGCAGGACGTGCGGGGCCTGTGCTGTAAGCCAGGGTCAGGCCTGCAGGAGGGTGCAGGGGGCCTGTGCTGGGAGCCAGGGTCGGTCCTGCAGGAGGGTGCAGGGGGCCTGTGCTGGGAGCCAGGGTCAGGCCTGCAGGAGGGTGCAGGGGGCCTGTGCTGTGAGCCAGGATCAGGCCTGCAGGAGGGTGAAGGGGGCCTGTGCTGGGAGCCAGGGTCAGGCCTACAGGAGGGTGCAGGGGGCCTGTGCTGTGAGCCAGGGTCAGGCCTGCAGGACGTGCAGGGCCTGTGCCTGCTCCCAGCGGCCGGCACTCCAAGAAGGCAGCTCTGGGGCTTCGGAGCAGGGTGGCTGGGAGGGACTCCTGCCTTTGCAAGGGCATCCAACCCCTGGCTGGGGGCACCTGGCCCTCCCCCTTTCTCTCGCTGTCCTTGCTCATCGCCCACACCTCTCTGAGCACCAGTTGCCGCCTTAGGAGGTTGGTTCACTCCCCTGCTGGACAGTCTTGGAAGAAGCCCACATTCCCCCCCTCAGCACGCGAGAATTTGTGAGCGGCGCAGCGTGCCCGCCTCTCCACCCTCTGCAGGCCGCGGCTGGCTCTCTCGTGCCCTAGACCTGCACAGCCCTGCTCTGTGCTTCCATGAGCCCCGGTGTGCACGCCGTCCCTGCTCGGAATCCTCCGCCTCAGTCTTCACGTGGCCGGTTAAACCCAACTCCTCTTTTAGATGCTTTAAACCAGGGGTCTTCAAGCTTTTTAAACAGGGGGCCAGTTCGCTGTCCCTGAGACCGTTGGCGAGCCAGACTATAGTTTAACAAAAACTATGAACAAATTCCTATGCGCACTGCACATATCTTATTTTGAAGTAAAAAAAAAAAAAAAAAAACAGGCAAAAACACCCACATGTGGCCCGCGGGCCATAGTTTGAGGACGCCTGCTTTAGACAGTACCACTCCTTGGCTTAAATGGTTCTACTTCTGAGATATTTCCCCTCAATATCTTGTCTCTCCTCCCTGCCCTGTCCCACACTTTTAGCCCCTAATATATTTCTCTCTAGCAACTTGGACATTTACAATTGCCTTATTTGTCTTCATGGTTTGTTCTTCCTTCATTAGGATGAAAGTCCCATGAGAGTTTCAGAGCTATGAAGGAGCTGGGAGTTTACCCTCCTTACAAGCCAACTAGCCAGCCCACCGCAGTTTTGTGAATGCTGGAAGAAGACAAAGGCTCCTGGGTCAGAGACAGAGGGCTTTATTATTCACAGCACAGAAAGCAGCGTGAGCTTCATGCTTTCACACTGGCTTCTCCTTGAGCCTCAAGTCCCACAGGGACAGCAGAGATGCCCAGATGGATGCCACATGAGCAATGGGCTGGCGTCATAGATGAGGAAACCTGTGCTTAGAAAACCCCAATCTTTTATGATGAGATGCAGGCTTTGCCATGGGCTTTGCCATGGGCAGAGTTGTCTCTGGGAGGTGCTTGTGTATTGCAGTAGAAAACCATAATTTGAATGACAGCTTTTTAAAAAATCCAAAGACAAGACAGATACTGAACAAGAAGGAAGAGAAGCCACAGAGAGGAAGAACTGGGGAGGGAGGGTGACTGGCTACGAGGAGCGATGGTGTCACCTCTGCTGACTTTGATCGCTCAGGACCTGGGGCCCCTTCTGAGGAGATCATCGGGCCCAGGAGCAAAGCTGGACTGTCCTCCAGGTGCTGCACCCCGTCCACCATGAGGGCTTGTCAGATGTTGCTCCCAGTCTCCCTCAAATCTTCCCAGGCCTCCCCAGCACCACGGCCCCCACCCAGGTCCGATGCTTCCACTGTGTCCCTCCTTGATTGTCTCGCCAGCCTTCCAGTCAGGCTCCCTGCCTCCGACAGGCCGTCCACACCTCAGCCTGGACGTCTTTCTAAAATGCAATTTGGATTGTGCCACTCTCTTCTTTAAAACTTTTCGGGGATTCCCTGTTTCTCTGAGGACGAGACACTAAGTTAAATGGCTTCCGCAGTCTTCCTCCTCTGGCCGTGCCACCTCCTGTGGCTTCCTCTTCCCCAGCCCGGCGTCTGCTGCAGCAGCAGTGCCCCCTCACGCAGGAGGCCCTTCCAGCCGCATTCGGGAAACGGACAGGGTCTTCAGAGTGCAAGAAAATTTGGCAGAGGAATCAGGAAATCATCATCTACAAGGATCAAAGCTTGACAATAAACATAATGATACTACGGTTTGAAGGAATCCATTCTATCAAGTGGAAATCAAGAGCAAACACAAAATCAGGGTTGACATTTTTGGACTCCAGCAGGAGCGAGTGGGGGAGAAGTGGTAGCGACCTAATCCTTCAGTCTTGGTTGTATCTCTAGTCGTGTGAAAAGCCTATGGCTGTGGCCTTGCCTTCTAACAGCTGATTAAATAAAAATAAAATAAAATCTTGCAAATAAAAAAATTAATGGCTTTCTATGCATAGTGTACCTAATACAAATCTTACAAGTCTTGTTCCAAGAAATAATGAGTTGAGGGTTTGTGCAACAGGCAGAAACTATAGATGACCCTGACATGCTTGTCTCTGCTTCATATCTGAGATTTGATGTGTGTTTCTCCAGGAAGTCACCCTTGACCTTTAAATCCGGGTTAGGCACCACTCCCATGTGCTCTGTTGGGACCACTCTTATAGCATTTGTCACACTGTGTGGAGGATTGTTACACTGCTGGCCCCCAGGGATCCATATCTCCTGGTTTTTATGTTCTTATGTGGTCCCCTCCCACAAGGACTGTGGACTCGATTGTGTGACTTCCTTTGCCTGTTGAGATATTAGTGAGAGTGCTGCAAACAAATATGGATAGGGGCTTGTACACTGGGACTTGTTCTCATGCAACACCCCCTCGAAATACAGCCACCACACTCTCAAGAAGCCCGGGCTTGGCCACTGTAGGATGAGAGAACCTGGAGCGTGAGAGGCCATCTCGGACCTTCCAGCCCAGCCAGGCTCCCAGCTGAGCACAATCTTTACAGTGTGTGAGGCAGAAGAGCCTCCAGCTGAGCCCAGCCTACCCACAGAATGGTGAGAAATAAAAATCATTGTTTTTTCAAGCCAAAGTTTTAGGATGGTTTTAGTATACTAGCAGATGACCAAAACATACTGTTTTATAATTATCTGCTACTTCTCTCTTCCGATAAACTATATGTTCTAGGGAGATAATTTCAGGATCTGCTTATTTTAGGTAGGGTGCTATACACACTTTTTGAACTACTTCTCCAGTATCCTTAGGTTATGTCAGACTTAGCATTGCCAACTCGTGATTAGCTTGCCTTAAGCAAGGGGTGATAAACCATTTTGATTCTACTGATATAGAAGTCATTACAGAAAGGAAAAGGTGGCAAACAGTGACTTTCTATATCTCTTGTTGTAACTAAGATACCACATCAAGTAAAAAAGAATTAGTAATTAAAACAGTTGCTACTTCTTTGAACCTTCTTGTTGTTCCTTGGAAGCCAGTTTAAGTTATATCCCAACTGCTAACTTTTCTTAGAAAAGTTTTGGAAAACACCTTCACTTCCAAACACCCAGAAGATCTAGGGGGAAGGGAGTGGAGGGTGATGAAAGGAAAATTAAAGCAGGTGGGACTTAACCCATGCTGAAAAGTTTTAATCAAATCTTCCCTCCTACTTAGCGTCCCAGCATGAGGCAATCACTGCCTCTTCTGAACTCCTCCAGGGTTTTTACCTTCAGCCTCTGGCAATTAATCACTCACTACCCCGTGCTGTCTCTTCCCTTGTCTTCTTTGCATTTGGTCTTGCCATTTAATTTTTCACAGATTTATGTCTGGCCTCTTTGCGTAGTTCCCACAGAGCCTAGCACATTGTAAGCGTGTGACAAATAGCTCCCATACAATGGTTTTGTCCCAAGCAACCCTCGTTTTGGGCAGCCTCACCTCTCACCTTGGCTTCTGCTCCCCTCCCAGATGGCTAGGGTGGTCTCACCTGCCTCAGTTGTTCCCTAGCTTGTGGCTTGTCTTTGGAGGTGCCCAACCCTAAACCTGAGACTTTTTTAGCCTTTAGGGTGACGGATGGAAGATTTACAAATCCCTCTTTCTCTCTCTCATCTATGGACCTATAAATAATTTTCTCTCTCTTCACTGAAGTCACTAGACGAGGAAACTTTAGCTCGAAGGCTTTCAGTCAAACACAAGAGTCATCCTGCCAGTTAGAGGTTCCGATTATTGCAACAGAGTCCTGAAGTGGCACGGGGGTCTCTCTCTAAGGAGGTTTTTAAAGAAAAAATGACTTCTCTGCTCTCTGGCATAATTTCCATGTTGGCCCAGCCTCTGCGTTCCTCTGTTTCATGATGCCATGTGTCTTAGAAATAAACCCGGACCCACATTATTCAGAGGAGCTACAGTAAAACAACCTCTTTCTTAGATCTCTCATTCAATATATAACCCATATTCAAAAGTGAATAAAACATGTATGATCTAACAGAAACTCAGAAAAGGTACCTGGCTTGGCCGACTCTGGCGTTAATCCATCTTCCCTTTCAAAGCCCTTCTCACTCTAATGGTGTGTGCAGAAGCTGGGAAGGTCCGGGCCTGTTGCTAGCAGGGGCTGCCCCGGCCCTTTGCCCCAGCGCCTGGAAGTCCCGCTGCTCTGAGCATGTTTCTCCCAGTGGCATGTTGAGTTCAAATAATTCCACCACGGCCCCGAAAGTCCCACCGCTGGTGCCCCACCGTGCATAATCCCCCCGAGTGCAGGCGGCACCTGTGAGTATGTTGGGCGAGCCACTGCCTGGGTGCACTTGCGCCACGCGGCCAAGTGCAGATACTTCAGTGACGTGGCGCTGTGTGTGTCCGTCCCAGCAGACTGGAGAGCGGTTTGAAGGGTGAACAATTCTCCTGCTGGCTTTAGAGAACTGAGCATCCAGACTGTGGTGGGACCACACAGCTAGCACTTGAGGGAGGCCTCTAGAAGCTGAGAGTGACCCCTGCCAACAGCCAGCAAGTATGTGGGGCCCCCAGTCCCACTGCTGCAAGGAACTGCATTCTGCCGACAGCCAGCAGGCCTGGAAGAGGCCCGAGCCTCAGATGAGGTCACAGCCCCGCGCACACCTGGACTCCAGCCTGGGAAGCCCCAAGCAGAGGACCCCGAGAACCCGTCTGGACTCCGGACCACAGAAACTGTGAGATAATAAATGTGTGTTTGTTCAAGCCACTGTTTGTGTGACTTGCGACGTTGCAATGGAGGATGAGCACAGTCCCTCGTCCCCTGCACCTCAGAGCTCAGCCTGCTGGAAGGAGGGGAGCATGAGTCAAAAGTCGCCCCTCTCAGTGACTGCTAACTGGGCGGTGTTTTTTCCAGAGTAGACCTTCCTTTGACCTGGGAACGCCTTTGCACTTCCCCCTTTGTGCCATCACCCCCCTCACTGCAGTATGCCGGGAGCTCTCATGTTTGGGGTCCCATTGAACCCTGACAGCCACCCTGCCCAGGCACGGTTCACTGACACTGCCCCTGCGGGTGCACCCCTTGCCCAAGGCCTTAACATCCCAGCAGAAGACACCACCGAGACTGGAACTCAGGGCTTCTAGACCCAGATTCCATGTTCTTTCCACTCTGCACACTGTGGAGCTCCAGAGGCTTTTCAAAGGCTGGCGGTGGGATGCTAGAAAGGGGGTGCTATGGTTTGAATGTGTCCCCTCAAGTTCATATGCTGGAGACTTAATCACCAGTGCAACAGTGTTGGGAGGTGGGACCTTTAGGAGGTGCTTAGGTGACCTGTACTAACGTTGTCACCAAGGAGTGAGTTTGTAACAAAAGCGAGTTTGGCCCTCGCCCTGGCCGTCTCTTGCTCTCTACCTTCATCCATGGCTGACGTAGCACCAAAGCCCTGGCCAGATGCTGCTCCCCCACCTGGGGCTTCCCAGCCTCCAGAACCATGAGCCAAATAAATTTCTGTTCATTATAAACTACCCGTCTGTGATGTTGTGTTGTAGCAGCATAAAATGAACTAAGACAGGGAGATTCTCAACATTACAAACTAGACTGCACTATAAGCCTAACCCTTTCATGGAACCCATGGCCTGAGGGGCCTTGACCACAGTCCAAGGTGGAAGTGGGTGGACGAGCAAGGTGTGGTTTCTGCTCTCCTGTGGTCCTTACGTGACTTCATCCCCCCAGAACACCACATGCACAGACCAGGAAAATGACTTTCACTTTGCAGGGGCGGGAGCCTGGAGGACCCCCAAGAATGCCCTGCCCTCTGCTTTCTTTCCTGCAGTACCCAGAGCAGTTGCTGCCTCGGTGGTGGCAGCCAGCCTTGGGCAGAAGGACAGGCCACTCTCCACATCCATCAGGGGATGCAGTGGCCCCTTTCCTGAGACAGGTGAGCTCAGCCAGGGGATTAGAAAGGGGCGCTTCCCAGTAACTCACTCCTCCACTAGTAATTCCTTAAGAAAGCAAATTAAGAGGAGCAAAGGGAACATTGTAGCATGGAGGTGGGTAGAAAAAAGTGGTTTGGCCCTGAGTTTGGACAGAGACCACCCTGAGCAGGATGAAAATGAACCAAGTAGCAAGGAAGTGGTGCGAGCCACAGCCCAGCCAATACCACGTCTTCATCGTGAACCAAGCACTAGTATATGTGCAAGCTCTGCTCATAGTTTTCCTTCTTTCTTAGAGATAAGAAGAAATAATATTCAAATGGTCCAAGTGCACAATCTGTGGATTCTTTCTGAGACCTGCTGAACACAAGTTAATGAAATTTTAATTCCTAGACAGATTAGACTCGGACCAATCCCCGCTCAGGCTCTATCTTTCCTTAACACTGCTTGTCTACACTGATAACCAGGGCTGCTTTCATATGGGGCTTGGGGTACGGTCATGCTTTTCTTGCCGCCTGTTCTTCAGGTGTTTGTTCCCTCCCCCTACCAGGCCCCCCTACAGCTGGAGCAGGGCACACTTTGCAGGGGGGGGGGAGCCTGGAGGACCCCCAAGAATGCCCTGCCCTCTGCTTTCTTGTTTCCAGCAGACTTGTTGTCTGTCACTGAAACATACCTGCAGAAATATCCCTGGGCATCTTGACGTGACGCACGAGAAGCTGGCTACTGAGCCCCATGTCCTCACTTCTTGCCAATGCTCGACGAACTTCTGGAAGCAGAATGAGGGTGTCTTTTCTCTTCTGCTCTGTTTGAGCAGAGAGAACATGGCTTCATCCCACAACATTTTACTATGAAAATGTTCACATATACAGCAGAATTGAATGAACCTTGTCATGGACACCTACTGCCGAGATTCTAGAACTAACATTTACTACACTTGCTTTATGGTGCATCTAAACACCCATCTATTCCCTATCCTCGTGCCAATCTTCTTATTTCTTATGATGCCCTGCAAAATAAATTATAGTCATCAGTGGACTTCCCATAAATGCTTCAGCATGCATCTCATTGATGAGAGTTCAATATTTGTCAGTAGTTTTTGTTCCTTCTGATGCAAAAATCTACATCTGATGTAATACACAAATTTTCCATACACATTGGCTGAGTTGGGAAATGCTTACTGCCTTGTAACCTAAACCCCTCTCCATACAGGGGACTTTATCTTCACTCTGGGAGATTCCTCTGTACCCTTTCCCAGAAGATTCCTGCCCATGTTCTAGCCCTAGAAAAATCTGTTTTCTTATTTTTTTCACCACAGATTAGTTTTTCTCTCCTCAAGAATGCCATGTAAATGCAACAATACTATTTGTATCCTTTCATGTAAAGCTGCTTTCTCTCAACATGATGATGATGATTGTGATTTCTTTTTATTGCTGGATCATATTCCCTTATATGACCGTAACTCAGTTTGTTTGTGTATTCTTCTATTGTTTCCAGTTTGGGGCTATTATTTACAGTGCTAAAGAGAAAACCAAATTGAAATAGCAAAAAACAAAACCAACAGCAAAATAAATATTAAACAAAAATACCCAGTGTGAACATGTGCACACACACACACATTCATGCTAATGAAATCTTTTAAGGCTGGAATTTCATTAATTTCTTTTACATATAGTTATTGATAGCATATTTATTAACAAAATTTATAGAATAAATTTTTATAGGTCCTATTTGGATGAACAGCCTACTTCTATTTGGATGTACTAATTAATAATTAGTACTTTAATTTTCTTTACACAAAAAAATGGTACAATGTGGAACAAAATAATGTTTTTCCTAAGTCAGCCTGGCATTTTAAAAAATGCAATTCAGGACCACGAGCAATTATCTTCAATTTCTAATTATCAGGGTCCAAATGGAATATAGAGGTATGGTGTTAAGAGTAACTCTAGTCTTTTATCAAGAGTCATTACAGAGAACACATTTACAACTCTCAATTCTTCTACGTGTTCAGTGACACTTTGCAGCACAAGAGGCACTGTGCGGCTTTAGAGGAAGTGCCACGTCGAAGGGGCCTTGGCCAATCTCAGTTCTGCATAGGGCTACATCACTTACCACCCTGGGCCTCAGGTCTGGTCTATAAAATGAAGGATTGGAATGGATAGTCATAGAGGTTCTTTCCTGATATAAACACATATTTTTTTTCTCTACACTTTATAGTATTTTAGGTGTTCTTGTCAAGGTCTATGGTTTGTTTGTTTGTTTTTGAGGCAGGGTCTCACTCTGTTGCATGGGCTAGAGTGCAGTAGTGTTATCATAGCTCAGTACAACTTTGAACTTCTGGGCTCAAGCGATCCTCCTGCCTCAGCTTCCTGAGTAGATGGGACTACAGGAGCACATCACCATGCCTGGCTAATGTTTTTATTTTTTGTAGAGATGGGGTCTTGCTATGTCACCCAGGCTGGTCTTGAACTCTTGGCCTCAAGTGATCCTCCCACCTGGGCCTCCTAAAGTCCTTGGATTATAGGTGTGAGTCACTGTGCCCTGACTAAGGTCTGCTGATTTTAAGAAACCAAAAACCCACAAAAAATTATTCAAAAAAGTGAGGGGGGATTTATTGTAAGGCCAAAGCTATAGCCTCCAAGGGCAGGACATCTGGTCCAGCCGGGTCGTCTGGGCATGGACTGGAACCTTCGAGATTCCACTGGCAGGGCCCAGGCGTCTTGCACGGGGTCTCGCTTCTTCTTCGTGGGGATCAGCTCCCTTCTCTTGCTCCTGTCTCTCTGCAGACCTGCCTCCTTCGCTCCCTCACCTGCCCACACACAGCCTTCACCACCCTTGGCCTCGCTCTGCCTCACGGCCCACTGCTGATATTTGTTGTTCAATGTATATATTTATTGGAATAAATAAATCAAATTAATTTTACATATTTAAATGCTGATTTTCCTTCAAAACTGGAATGTGACTTGAAGCCCTTTCTGAAAATAGCATGCCATTTGGGGTGAAGCAGAAAGCAGTTCATTTAGACTGTGTCAGTTGCTTCGTCACTGGGGCTGTTTTGAGGACTTAATGAGATAGGATGTCTTTGTCCATTTTGTATTGCTATAACGAATAGCACAGACTGGGTGATTTATAAAGAACAGAGATTTATTTTTTATAGTTCTGCAGGCCGGGAAGCCCAACATCAAGGCGCTGGCGTCTGGCGAGGGCCTTCCTGTAGAGCTGTCCCACGCTGGCAGGTGGGAGGGGAAGAGAGTGTGAGAAAACAAGAGGGAAGAGGAGAAAACTCATCCCTTTATCAGGAACCCGCTCTGGGGATAGCTAGCGCTATGAGACAACAGCACGAGTCTGTCGGGGACGGAGCCTCACAGCACACTCACCACGCAAAGTCCCCTCTCGACACTGTTGCGCTGGGGTTGAGTTCCAGCAGGGAATTTGGGGAACACATTGAAGCCATAGCACAGGGCGAAGGAAGTACTGAGGGCATTGCTTAAAGAATCAATAAATATTGATGGTAGCTGTTCTGATTATTTTAGGAATTATTACTACTCAGAACTCTTAGAATTACCCTTGCAGTACCCATTTTGATATGATGAGAGGCTTTGACTGATTGAGTGGTTTTGTTTTTGATGTTTCTAGAAAAATCAAAGAGCAGAGGGAGTCAATAGAGGCTAAATAAAGCTTAATTTTGCAACTATTTTCAAAGCTTGATTCCATGCTTATTTGGAAAGCCATGTGTTAACTCCACCAGCCCTGGTAACAAAGATTTGCAGAGTTCCAGTGGCTTCCATAAGGCCCTGGAGTCGGTGCAAGCCATTTCTGGGAGATTGTTTGCAGGTGAGTGGACTCTGCGCCTGGGGCCCTACCAAGTAACGGTGGGAAACGTCAGCCTCCTGCATGGCCAGACCAGGCTGTGTGCAGGGAGAAGGAACAGAACCCAAGTGGCTTTTTGAGAGCCTCAATTTCAGTTTCCCAGGTCTCAATCTCTGTGACCACCCACCCACGGCAGTGTTGTGCTTGACGAGGCCGTGGTCTGCACAGGACCCCATGAATGTGTCCCCAACCTGCCAGCTCTTGATGGTTCCTGGTTCTCCTCCTCCTCAACATTTTCTCCCTGCTCCCAGGATAATAGAAGCAGCAGCAAGAGAACTGAGGACACAATGTGCAGTGATGGGTCATAGAGGAGGTGACTGATATGTGACATGGAACACTCCGGGCCCCAAATCTGCAGGGCAGATGGGGTACATGAGCCCAGAGAGGGCCCTGAGAAGGGCTTCTCAGACCTGGATTCTGGCAGCTGGTCAATGTGAGAAAGCCCCTCCCTTCCACCACGTGAGGACTCAGCAGGAAGGTGGCCACCCATGAACCAGGAATCTGCCAGTGCCTTGATCTTGGACTTCCCAGCCCCAGAACCGTGAGAGAGTATTTCTGTTGCTTATAAGTGCTATGTTTTGAATTCATCCCCCAAAAAGCATGTGTCAGAAATTTAATCTCCAATGTAAGAGTGTTGGGAAGTGGGGCTTAATGAGAAGAGATTAGGCCATGTGGGTGAAGGGACTGGATTAATGCCATTATTGAGGGAGTGGACCTGTGACTGGGGGAGTGGGTTCCTTATAAAAGGACAAGTTGGGCTCCCTTTTCTGTCTCTTGTGCTCTCTCTGGTCTTTCTGGCATGTGATGCCTTCCACCATGGTATGATGCAGCAAGAAAGCCCTTGCCAGATGCCAGGCCCTCGATCTTGGAGTTTCCACCCTCCAGGACCCTGAGCCAATACATTTCTGTTCATTATAAACTGCTCAGTCTGTGGTATTCTGTTATAGCAGCACAAATAGGTTAAGACAGTAAGCCACCCAGCTGATGATACTCTGTTATAGCAGGTCTGTTTTAGATGCCTAACCTGTATTTTTATGGGTCCTAGACAGCTAGTACCTGAGGAGGGGACCCACCAGGTCAGTGTACAGGCTGATATTATCTGGGAAGACAAGGGAGGTCAGCCAAGTTGTGTGTGTGGGGGCAGGGAATCGAATCAGGGTTCAGGGTCAGAAGAAGAAGACAGGGATGAGTGTTGGGATGAAGGGCAAGGGAGTGAAGACCTCAGGTTTATCTCTTAATCAAGAGGTAAAGTGGGGAACCAGTAATGATAAAATCATCATCATCATTAAAAATAAAATAGTGAATATAGGCCGGGCGCAGTGGCTCACGCCTGTAATCCTAGCACCCTGGGAGGCTGAGGTGGGATGATGGCTCAAGGTCAGGAGTTCGAAACCGGCCTGAGCAAGAGCGAGACCCCGTCTCTACTATAAATAGAAAGAAATTAATTGGCCAACTAAAAACATATATATAAAAAATCAGACTGGCATGGTGGCACATGCCTGTAGTCCCAGCTACTTGGGAGGCTAAGGCAGGAAGATCGCTTGAGCCCAGGAGTTTGAGGTTGCTGTGAGCTAGGTTGACACCACAGCACTGTAGCCCAGGTAACAAAGTGAGACTCTGTTTCAAAAATAAAATAAAAGGGTGAATATAGATTCATTAACCATTTTACTTTAGCTCACACAAAGGCACTTTCTCCTGCCAGTTGTGGGTGCAGGGCCTGAGTCTTCTCTCTGTGTCTGGGTTTGCAGAGTGAGCTTCCTCTTTGGCTTTCTGATATAAGCCACACCCAGAGATTTCCACCCGGGTTTCCAATTCGGGTTTCTTAAGAGTGAAGGAGAAACTTAGAAACACACGGCAAGGAGCTGAAGTGCAGCACCCTTCTGGAGTGCCACTCCC